GGAAGTGCTTGGAAGGGTTCTGCTAGGCTTGGCCAACTGCTTCACCCTGCGGTGTTCCAGGCGCCTCCCCGCCTAGGCTTTGGCTATAGGCCGGGGTCGGCGGATATAATATAGTATACTATAAAAAACACAATATATATAATACCATATAAGGTACACCTCTGATCATGTTTACCCTAAATATTGTTCATTCCAGATTCTCAGAAAGGGGTTTAATAAGGAAATGAAAGGATTATTTATTTATTTATATATATATCTAATCAAAGTAGATTTGAATTAGAATAAGTTAAACTTACTGTAAATTAGAATCAACATGGAATGGAATTAGAATTAAATTAGGGAAATTCATCAACTTTATTTTGTGTACACTTTATTCAGGGTATGGTGGCTTCATAGGGACTACCCTTGCCAGAGCGGTTTTGATCAATTGTTGATGGTTTTTCAATAAGGGTTTTATAACGAATTGTTATCAGAAGGTGTTGGACATTGATAAAGGGAAATGAACGGGAATAAAGCTAATGGATAATTTAGATGCAGGAGCACCTGTAGCTTTACTTGGCGTACCCGTTATTTAGTGATATTACAGGTGTTTAAAGTTATTGTTGTTGTTTATATGTTTACATACCTAGAGAATCTTGCGGTGTTTTTTTCCGCCGTCATGATAAAACACTGTTTTTCTGCGGCATTTCAAGAAGACCGCCGCTTTGCCAAAAACACGCTGCATTCCCAGAAACACGCCGCAATGGGGTTTCAGCAACAATCACACAAGTTCACATTGGTTGTTAAGCTCTGAATGAAAATAGGATGTAAAGTATGCAAAGCTGTCAACCATGTCAAATCAGAAAACATGGACACAAGAAAGCCGCCTTCCCACCTCTCCAAAACGATCAATCAAAGGGCACCCAAAACTGTCTTTTAGGATCTTCTGGTTGGTGTTGGAAGGGCCAGGATTTCTGAGAAGCGAGGACCTAGAACTCTTCCGATTCAGGGTCCAATGATAGAGTTCCGCGCTATGCTTTTTCTGTGGCAATGCTCTATCTACAGTTGGGAGCGCCAAAAAAAGCGCTGCAGCAACTGCTTCGCACACCCCTCTTTTGCACCAGAACCTCCCAAAGATTGATGACAAGGCGCCTATCCCTGCAGCTGTAGGTCATGGTGACCCAGACAGGAGCTAAGTTCGACAATGGGCAACCAAGCTTTAATTTGGCACCGTCCCGCCATTTATTTTATAGTAACAAAATAACATATCTCAGCTCACTCCCCAGCTGCGAGGTTCCAAGCTTGCCCCAACAACCTACAAGCTAAGCCGGATCAAAATCATAGGTTCATCACGGCGAGGTGCTAATCAAACCTAAGGTTTGACAGTCAGTCACGGCACGTGCTTCTATTTCGTTAATGATAGCTGTGCTCTATGTAGGGTTACGTGTTTCCACCTAGGTCGCATTTGTTGAGGGCAAGAAACGTGTCTTCGCGATCTCTTCTTTCAGGAAAAGCTTTGCCCATCCCTCTCCGGACGCACCCATATTCTCCAATTTGATTGGGACCTCCTCTTTTTTCGTGCAAGAAAAAGACGAAGGAGTTTTCTGATGGACAACTTAGGTAGGTCTGGGTGGGGTCAGGGCTTGAGTACGCCATTTTGGCTCAAGCCCTGACCCTTTGTTTGAGGGTCATGTGGTGGGTCGCGCTCCTCGCGGGCGGCTTGCTGGGGGGCGATGTTCCCCTCGGCCATGGCGGCCGCGGCGATGTCGTCGGTGTCGGCCATCTTGGATCACTTCCAGGTGGCCGACGCATTGTGGGCGGCATTTGTTCGCGAGGCTGGCGATCCGAACGACGACCTTCGTCTTTTGGCGGCCCTTCCGGGCAATGTGGTCGCGGCCTCGCTGGCCCAAGCGACGTTCGACGACGGCACCCCTTTGACAGCGGTTCAGGCCGCCCAGGTGGGACTCGTGTGGAAGCTGGCGAGGAGGATGATGTTCGTGAAGGGGGGTGGCACCTGGGAGGATTGGTCAGAGGAAGATCCATGGAGCGATTCCCCTCCTTCACCACCGAGGAGTTCGTCGGCAAGGGCATCAGCGGCACCCGGGGAGTTCGTGAAGGAAACGAAGGAAAGGATTCTGAAATTTACCCAGGTCCTCGACCAAGGGGACGATGGAGAATTC